AAAGCTTAGGTACTTTGGTATTTTGACTTGTTACTCTGAATGTGAGAAAGCCAAGGGAAGATTCTGAGCAAAGGAATAGCTTAATGTAACTTGTCTTAAAAAAAAAAATCATTCTGGCCAATAGGTTGAGACTCAATTGTAGGAAGTCTAGGGTGCAAACAGGGAGATCAGCTGGGAGGCTATCAGATAATTGAAGTGATAGATGGTAATTTGGATATGGTGGTAGCCTTGGAGATAGCTAGAAAGGGTCAAGGGCAGCTTGTGTTGGCACACTTGCCAATGGGGACTTACTCTTTTGCCAAAGGATGCAGGCAATTTCAAGCCCCCAGATCACCTGTAACACAGGCGACAATAAAATAAATACATCTTCTTTAAAAGAAATAACCATTTCTTGCTATTCTGCTGGTTCTCCAAGCCCTAGTCCATGTGATGATCAAAAACTCATTCAAATAGTGGAAAAAGGAAACATGTGGAGGAAAAAAAAATTTTTTTAAAGAAGCAATTCGATTCTAGATATATTTTGATGGCATAGTCAACAAAGATGGCTTTAAGATTTTGGCCTGAGCAACTAGAAAGATGGAATTGTCATACACTGAGATGGAGAAGACTATAGGAGGAGCTTGAGTAGAGAGGAATACTGGGAGTTTGGTTTTGGAAATGTGAATTTTGTGATGTCTATTAGAAATTCAAGTGGAGCTGTTAAGTTGGCAGTTGGATATATGAGACTTGAGTTTGGGGAATAGGTCAAACATATACATTTGAGAGTCAAAAGCAAATAGATGAGATCAGGATAAGATGAGATGAGACAGCATGAGATCACCAAGGTAGTGAGTGCAGATAGAAAAGAGGTTTGAGAACTAAGCTTTGGTACCCTCTCACTTTTAGATACACAGGGGATGAGGAAGAACCAGAAAGGAGACTGAGAGAGAAACGCCAGGTTAGGAGGAGAAACACAGGGGAGTGTATACTAATGAGAGGAGGAGATTTAATTCAAAACATTTTTTTTTACTACCAGTGGTCACTTCTTTACCTCTTAGGTCTCTTGACCCTAATTTCCAATGACCTATTTGACATCTCCATCTGTATTTATTTACTAAAATCACAATGACCAAACATATACTACCCAGCAGACACCAAGCTAGATGCTAGTTAAGGTGGTTACAAAATGGATGAAACAGTAGCTTCCATAGAGCAAGAGCTCACTATGTATTAGTTGCTGGGATTGTCTCCCACAATTCCCTTCCACTGCACCCTGCCTCCGAGCCGTGTTAAACAACGGTAGTGGGACCCATCATTTTCTCTAAAGCCTTTGCCTGAATGGTTCATTTTCTGGAATTCCCTTACCCATTCTCTCAACATTTTTCCATCTCAGCTCAACTGAACATCCTCCAAAAAAGTCTTCTCTGACTCCCAGCCCCTGCCCCACCCTTGACTGTGCTCCCATAGCATCTAGTGTATACCTCGGGGGTTTTTTTCTTGGTTTTCAATACTTATCACACAACACTATCATTGTCTTTTTGGTCTATTTTGATCTACTCCATTAAATTGTTAGGTCCTCAAAAGTAGAAATGATGTTTAATTATTTTTCTCTCTCAGGCAAATGACAGACACTCCTTAACCAGTAGTTGAATAAACAATAAATAAATAAATATCTTCTGGTCAATAAATGTTTGTTAAATCACTAAATATATATACGTATATATGTGCACATATATTGACATGAAGCAGTTACACATAGAATGGGTTTATTAGGTAGAGTGCAACAATGTAAAGAAGAAACAGGAGCAGAAACTTAGATGAGAATTGAATAAAAAGAAAACAAGTGAACGTCTATCCGTTAGGATATACTCAAGTAAACTCAAGTGCACAATGGGGTGAGAAGTAAAAGCAATGATAAATCAATAATAAATTCAATAATTCCACCAATGATAAATCAGTAATAAATTTGATAATTCCACCTGTTTGGTTTATACCTCATGCCTGAGACTTGAGGGATGGTGAAGTCTATATCAATACTCGTGATGACTGTCACTGCCTCCTTACCTAGACAGTTCAGCAAAATCTGACGGAAAGTTAGCAGGGCCTGCTCTCTTAAAAGATGGTGTGGCCTAAAGTGCATTTCTTATCTATAAATGAGGAATAAATCATATCTGTAAATTATTTTTCATTTCTAACATTCAGCTTTTTTTCCCCTTCTCCTTCTCAGATGATGCTCTTAGGAAAACAAAATCTAAAATCAAGATTTCACCGAATCACTTTGGCATTTGTGGCCCTGAATTCTAGCACATCGTAACACACCCCTCCTCCACCCACACAGCCCACCCCCACAAACCCAAGGTCTCCGACAGCTTCGGAAGCATTTTCAACCTTATTCAAATTGCTTTCCTGGGCCAAGAATGTAGTAAGTCTGCCTTCCAGCTACCAGCCCCCTTCCCTTTGGTCTTTCACTCCGGAGGCTCTTCCCCTAGATACAATGGGACACGGGTGGGGGATGGGGTGAATTCGTCCCAGCTTTTCATGCAAACACCTCCGTCAGCAAAGAACAAAGCCTCTCCTACCTGCAGTTTAGAGAGCTGCAGGCAAAGTGAGGTATTTGGTGGCCTTGACTGCCCTCATTTACCAAACTGAGCCACGAAGTCAAGTTTTCCCCTTTTTTATTTATTCTTTCCCCCAGATTTATTGAGATGCAATTGACATATAACATTGTATTAGCTCATGGTGTACAAAATAATAATTTGATGTATATATTTATGTTGCAAAAGTGCTTACCACAATAAGTTTAGTTAACACCCATCAGCTCATATTCTCTTTTTTAAAGAAATCGTACTTTATTTCTAATAAGACAGAGACTATCTGCCTAACGCACAATGTACAGTCACGTGCCGCATAACGACGTTTCAGACAACCACTGACCGCATACAGGACGGTGGTCCTATAAGATTAGAACCCTCTAGCCTAGGTGTGTAGTAGGCTATACCATCTAGGTTTGTACACGCTATGATGTTCGCACAACGATGAAATCGCCTAACGACGCATTTCTCAGGGCTATCTCCTGTCCTTAAGCAACGCGTGACTGTATTTCCACCCACCCTCCTCTTGACATCTCTATTCCAAACTCTTTTCCCCTCCAAAATGATGGTCTGAGAAGACAAAGTGAAGGTTACATAGAATTTCATCCCCTTGTTTGGACCCAACAACCCTCCTATGTTCACAAGTTGGCATCTCTTCATTGTGAACAAAAATCAGCTTGCATGGGAACAAAGCCAGCAGCTCCAGGTGGAGAGCCAAGGAGCACAGTGCATGCGAGGATTAGTCAAGAGTTGCGTCTTAGAAAAATATATATTTGGAATTTGTTAAGGGTTTACTTTTAGGGGTGGGAGATTGGAAAAGAGGAAGAAAACCTTAGGTTTCTTGAGTGTTGAATTTGGGAATGAGGAGGAAAATTGAAAGCTGTGAACTGTTATCTTTGTCCATAAATAATTTCGTGCTGGAACCCAACATTAAAAACTGTTCCTTTGGAAGACATACCAAAAAACAAAATTGACAGAGTAGGGATGGAGTGGGGTTGAAGGAGATGACAGGACTGCCAGGCTAGAGAAGGAAAAGCTAATTAAAGAAAGAGCCAGAGGGTAAAAAAAAAAGCCAGAGAATGATGAGAGCTTGGGAAGGAGGGATAAGAGAGCAAACACTGATTCTAAAAGGAACCTGTCACGAACACTGGCAAGTCTGTGACAGCAATATCATTTGCCTAGAGGATGTTCTTCTTTACCTCCCTTCTTTCAATTGGGTTGATTTACAGGTCAATAAATGCCATTATTTTACATCTAGTGATGTCCCTGGTAAAACAAAACGCTGGTGTTTTCATTCTACCATGTTCACTGGATTAAAATAAAAATCACAACAAAAACATAATTTCAAATTTGGAGGTCCTGGGCATGAGATCCTGATAGAATTTCTGCTAACAGCTACTGTTTGTAGATCACTGACATGTCAAATATTATGAGCACTTAGCACTTGATTTTCTTTAATTCTTACAATAACACAGAGAAGGTACTTTCATCCCTACTTACAGATGAAGAAACTGAGACTTATTAATGTGGTGGAGCCAAGATTCTATCCAGTAAATGTGTAAAAAACTAATTAAAAATCTTCCATAGTAATGGTATAATGCATAATTGCTACAGGGCACCACAGTGCCTTAGGTCCACAGGTCGCAATTCCTTTCCTCTGGCTTTTTTTAAAAACAAGATAACAGTCCTGGTGGAGAAACTTGCCTGTCTTTCTGAAAGCTAAAAAACCAGAAGGAACTAAAGTGGGAGATGAAAACAAGGACTGTTTTTAACGTCAACCGATGCGTTATCAACATACAATATGTGTTTTATTGTGACCTTAGGGTGAATCAAAGAGGAAAATGGAGCTAGTGGAAGTTTGTGCCATAACTAGCCCAAATGAGACCCTATGGGCTCTCAGATCAAGAAATTAATTATCCTGGTGGGAATTCCAATCACCTGAGGTAGCCTCAGGAATTGGAGGTGCATCTTTGATTTTAAAACGTGGAAACATGGTGAATCTACAAGTATTGAATTGCTGGGTTTATTTTGTCTCCAGGTTCTGTAGCCCCAGTTTGCTAGTTCCCCACCCAGTCTGGGTTACTCTGCAGCTACCTTTTGCATTACAATGGCCTTGGTGAGACTGGCAGACAGGATTAACTAAGAATTCTCGAGGGTGTGTGTGGGCGTGGGGCTGCCAGGAGGGGCGGGTCTAAGTATGGTTGAGCCTTCCTTATAAATCTAGAGCTTCCAAAATTTTTACCTTTAGCTAGATTGGTCTGGATGGCTTCTGCTACTGCAGAGGTGACTCATTCCATCCTGTCTTTCTGATAACTTTTCCATTTGGAGATCTGCATGTTTCTCTAAGCTTCTCTACCTAGATCCTTAAGCCTGGGCCTTTTTTACAATCTAGCTCTTTGGTTTTTTGCCCTCAACCTTCAACTCAACAACATGAGTGTGGATCCAGCTCTTCCCCAAAGCCTGCCTTGCCCTGAAGCATCCAATTCTGGGGAATTGTCACCAATGCCCGAGATTTATGAGCCTGAAGAAAATTACGCATCCTTGCAACTGTCGTCTGCTGAGACACCCCACATGGAGACTGGTAAGAAAAAATTGAATCCTTGAAAGGCTAATTTCCTTAAGGGAAAGAGAAAGAAGGAAGGAGGGTTGGTAAGGGTCATCCATTTCCCTCGAGTAACTATAGCCCATTAATACAAGCAGGTGTCATTATCTATTAATTCTCTCGACACCTCTCTTTCAACTGTTATCTTGGTGGCGCGTGCCCTTTCACTTATGTCCCAGGTGTCAGTTAGGAGTTGTGGACCGAGGCGAGGGACACAGGACTCAGTTCAACTGTGTACAGTATATTTGAGAGCTTACACACGTAGCCACTGTGGGAACCCATGTCTGATAAATAAGCTGATGTATAAATCTTGGTGTCAGGCACACAGTTAACAGTAAACGTTACTGCTAAGCCAGAAGTCACAACATCACAACTTGGAGAGATGAGCATCACCTTTTTGGTTTGTCTATTCAAGGAGTATAATCCCATGGCCAATTATATGAATATCACCTTGTTGAAATGTTTTACCTTTCTACAACAGTAGCAGTTGGCTCTTCTCCCACCCTTTGGATGTGTGGGTGTTATTGGGCAGCTCTGTTTGTGAGTGCCTGCTATGCTCAAGCCCCCTAAATCCAAAGGAAGTGTCCACCCCATTTTATGGTAGATAATTCCAGAAGCTTTAGTCTGCTGACAGAGTGGCTAGAGCTTGGATTTGAAATCCAGTTTGGCTTCAAAACCTATACTCTAATACTTGGGCTTCTAAACGGTAACTGCGGGAGTAGGGGATGCTCAGGATACTGTAAAGGTAGTACCACTTTTTTGGAAATCAGTTTGGCAGTAGCCGTTAAAAAGGTAAACCAACCTTTACCTAAGAATGCCATTTTTTTTTTTTTTTTTAAGATTTTATTTATTTTTTATTTTTTCCCCCCAAAGCCACAGTGGATAGTTGTATGTCATAGCTGCACATCCTTCTAGTTGCTGTATGCGGGACTCGGCCTCAGGATGAACGGAGAAGTGGTGCCTCGATGCGCACCCGGGATCCGAACCCGGGCCACCAGCATCGCAGCGCGCGCACTTAACCACCAAGCCACAGGGCCGGCCCAGAATGCCATTTTTAACATATACAGTAAAAAATAATAGGTCAAATCTATATTATGGTTACAACTGTACAGCTAAGTTGTAGCGAAGGGATAAGTAAAATAACTGCTGTATTTTTCACTGTTATATTTTAATGGTACCCCATTTTCCTAAACTCTGTGTTAATGTCCTTTTATACTCTTAAACATTGAATATACAGCAGGGTTTATGAGAATTTCGAAATAGCTTGAGAATGAGCAAGTGGGCATGTCCTCCTTATTAGTAAGCCAAATGCAAGTTTGCATAGATTGTTTATTTTTAGGACATGCCCCACCTCTAGTCATTAGTTGAGGACTTTCTTTCCTTCTTAGATCTACTTGCAAGAAGCATGAGATTGTGAATTTGGGCCTTTTAAAGCCTGTCCATTTATTCCATGACTAGGGTAGAAGTGGAGTTGAGCACTGGGAATACTTCAGTGCAAATAAGAATGTAAGTGCCTATTAAATCTAGGTAATAGAGGAAATTAATTTTCAGTTACAAAGTCAATAGACACCAGGTCCTGTAGTAGACAATGTTTATCTGTTACCTCATTTTAATCAATGAAGAAACTCGGTGACCTTATCTCAAATTATTTCTCCCTCAGAGTTAGTAAAATGGTAAAGTCCGGATTGAAACAGAAGCCTATCGAAATTCACAATTCCTGCCAGTCCTGGTATTTAGAACGGGGTACTAAACTGTTGATTTTATAGGGCCCTCAGAATCTTGATCATCAGTTTTGAAAATCGTGCAGAATGATGAATAAGGTTACAAAAGGAAGTTAAGGGACACAGCAAGTGGGAGTCGAGTGATCATTTTGACCTTTACGAACAGCCAGGATGTGGGCTCCTGAGCATCAGTTTACAGTAAAACGCGGTTGTCAAAGAGGTTAATATACGATATCAGCCACATGCATTATACATAAAATGGTGGCGGTGGTACACTTACTAGATTGTACAAACATTGGCAAAGCATTCGGGGCCACTTAAGAATTGTTACCAACTACCTAGCTTTAAGATTGTGAGGACTTTAAAAGTGCTTTGCAAACAATAAATGTGTAAATATAATTTAATATTTGAAATGTTTTAGAGAAAAGTGTCATTTTATTCCCAACAGTCTCTCCTCTTCCTTCCTCCATGGATCTGCTTATTCAGGACAGCCCTGATTCTTCCACCAGTCCCAGAGTGAAACTACTGCCCACTTCTGTAGAGAAGAGCACAGTGAAGAAGGAAGAGAAGGTCCAGGCCAAGAAACAGAAGATCAGAACTGTCTTCTCACAGACTCAGCTCTGTGTCCTCAATGACAGATTTCAGAGACAGAAATACCTCAGCTTCCAGCAGATGCAAGAACTTTCCAACCTTCTGAACCTTAGCTACAAACAGGTAGGGTTGTTTTGTTGCTGTCGTCGTAATAAGAAATAAAAATAAAGCTAATTTGCAGGTGCGCATTGCTAACATCTTCTATGTACTCGGTATTTATGCACCACCCCTACAAATAATTTAATATGACAGTGGAATCTTCTTGTAACGTGTTTCATGACCATTTTTCATTAAATATTCTATTGTGTGAATATGCCATAATTTATTTAGCCACTTTTCCCTGTTAAACAAACCAAAATTGTGAAAAATGTTTCTAATTTCTCCTTAATCAAAAGAGGCACATACTCCCATCTTCCAGGTTAGGAGAGTCTCTAACCAACACTGGTTCTCATTAAAATAAAAATTGCATCTTTTGTTTTTATCTGTGTGCATTTGATTACTAATGAGGGTAATAATTTTTTATATATTTATTGGCCATTTTATTCAGTCAAATATTTTATGGGTTTCTATCACTAGTGCCATACTTACAAAGTCCTCTACTCCACGATTTTGTAATACGTATACATTCTTCTGGTCCTTCTGTGATCTCATTTTCTAACCTACAGTTTAAAAACCATCTGGAAATTTTAGTTTACTGTGTGCTGCAACATAACTTATTTTCTAAATAGTTGTCCTAGTAGTATATTTCATAATTCCTGAATTAAAAGACCACCATTATCACATTAAATGTAAATATGCTTATATGAGGGGGGCTTTTTATTGCAAACATTAACTGTGACTAATTGCATGGGTTAAACCCTATGAAAAGGGAGATGAGTAGACATTTAAATGTAAAGTTCCTGGTTAGTAGATTTGCAGCATCATCTTTTTTTTTTTTTCGTGAGGAAGATCAGCCCTAAGCTAACATCTGCCAATCCTCCTCTTTTTGCTGAGGAAGACTGGCCCTGGGCTAACATCCTTGCCCATCTTCCTCCACTGTATATGGGACGCCGTCACAGCATGGCCTGACAAGCGGTGCATCAGTGCGCGCCCGGATCCGAACTGGCGAACCCGCGGGCTGCCACAGCGGAGCGTGCGCACTTAACACACCGGGCCAGCCCCACAGCATCATCTCTTAACTGGTTAGGTTTATTAAACAAAAAGCAGCCAAGTGACTTGCAGGGCTTGAAAACTCATTCATGGAATATTTGTTCAAGATTTAAAGGACTCTAGAAATTCAAATTTTGTTCCTGAACTTTAGATGGTGGTAGTTGTCAGGAAAAAAAGATTAACCATATTGTTTGATCCCTGGCGCATTTGCATTACGAGTATTTTATGCTTTCCTGTCACCTTTTTCCTGCAGGTTAAGACCTGGTTCCAGAACCAGAGAATGAAATGTAAGAGGTGGCAGAAAAACAACTGGCCAAAGACTTGCAACAGTGTTACTCAGGTAACAGGAAACTTATTTTTCTGCTCTTTCCTTTCAATGACTTTTTAGCTTTGCCCATTGCTGAAGAATACAACCCACAGATATTCTGATTTTCCTTGTACCCTTTCAGTTAACCCACCATTGTTTTTCAGAAGGGCTCAGCAACTACAGAGTACCCGGGCCTCTATTCCTATCACCAGGGAAGCCTGGTGAACACTGCTGGAAACCTTCCGATGTGGAGCAACCAGACCTGGAATAACCCAACCTGGAGCAGCCAGACCTGGAACAGCCAGTCTTGGAGCAACCATTCCTGGAGCAGTCAGACCTGGTGCTCCCAAGCCTGGAACAACCAGGCTTGGAACAACCAGGCTTGGAACAACCAGGCATGGAACAGTCAGTTCCACAGCTGCGGAGAAGAATTCCTGCAGCCTCAGATCCAGTTCCAGCAAAACTCTCTTGTCAGTGGTTTGGAGGCCACCTTGGAAACTGCTGGGGAAAGTCATACTGTAACACAGCAAACTGCTAAGTATTTTAGTACCCAGCAAATCATGGATTTATTCCCAAATTACTCCATGAACATACAGCCTGAAGATGTGTGAAAATGGGTGTATTCTTTGATCTCAATTTGGGCAGTGCCTGTATTACTTCTAGGATTTTTCTTTTAGCGTACTGTATCTGTCTTGATATTCTGCTTCTCATTAGGCCTATTGTGTCAATTTGGAGAGTGGTGGGGAGTATGATGGATTCCAGAGGTTTTGGTATCCTTGGCTGCCGTGAACAACATGAGAAAAGATGTCTCTGGCTATAGAAAACTAGATAGAATACTAGTTTAGATATCTTTAGGGTCTAGAATCTAACCCCAGAATAGGAAGTAAAAGTACAAAGATGTGTGATAAAGGATTATTCATATTTTCCAGGATTGGGAGGCTTTACTTGTTAAAACCCTCAAGTGTTAAGGTGTGAAGGGTTAAGCTATTAAGTGCTTCATTAATTTCCCCTGCCTCTTTTGCTGTTTTACTGCAACTCCTAATTTGTGATTACTCTAGTACTTGTAGAAAGAGGTTTTGTATTTTTGCTGCATCGTGATAATAACAGTACCAGTTTGACGAGTTGGTTTATAAGTTTAAGTACAAATAAATAAAATATCCATTTTACCTATAGTTGTCTCTATCTTGATTTCACCCAGTGGTTCAAGGAGTAAAAATTTGACTAAACATGGGTCGTAATCACATTTTTGTGAGGCGGGGGAAAAATTAACTGAAATCTTCTAGCCATTAGGGAGATTGCTATCTTAGAAATGAGTAAAGGAAAGGTAACCGAGTATACAATGCTAGGTGACTGATTAACCCAACCTGAACAAAGTTATTTCCTCCTTGTGGGTGTAATATTATTGAAACGATAAAATTTATGGTTATTTGCAGTTAAAGAAGAGTGCCACTTCTGGAAGATACGGAGCAGAGAAGTGATAAACAGAGATCTTAGGTTTGTGAAAAGGATAAATGAAGGGCAGCCGGCCGTGGGGGTGGTGGGGGAGGCAAATGATGGAAGGCAGAGGGAGCTAAAGGAGGAAAAAATGTTAGTTGTCTCGCCCTGCAACTCACATAGGAAAGGTTCTGTGACTGCCCTCCTGTACAGTTACACCCTGCCAGGAAGAACTATGTTGAAATAAGCTTATTTTTACACATTAAAAAAAAAAAGCCAGCTTTTTTATGACAGTGTTAAATTTGTAGAACTACAAAGTACAATTTAATGTGTTTTAATGTATGACTCTGTAAACATATTAATGTTAACATGTTAAAAAATTGGCTCAGAGACCAATATATAAGTAAATTCTAAGGCTGGTTTTAAGTAGATTTTTTTTTTTTCCAGGTCAAACTATGCTTTCAGCTTAGAAGGAGCTAAGCAGGCATCTATGAACTATATTAATCCTTTTTTTTACTGTCCTTTCCCCATCCTGGCTTGCCCCAAGTTGATCTGATTGGGAGCCCTCTCGTTCACCACTCTGCCTTCTTGCTCCACAGAAACCTCCAGCTTTCTGAAGCAGCAGAGACGCAGGGAGCAACCAGAGCAGTTTTCCTAGTCATTTCCCTCGGTTCTCCCAGTTTTCCAATGTTGCTCTATAATATTTTCCAATCCGATTATCTACACATTTGACAAAAGAGCAAGTCAGGCATAATTAATTTCTGCCAAGACCTAAGGACAACACCGTATTTTCAACTGGCAGATATTTGGGTTTTGAGCCAAGCACTGAGTATCTCAACTGAGTAGATAATGGAAACTGTTTGTTTTTTTTTTTAAAGATTTTATTTATTTATTATTTCCCCCCCCAAAGCCCCAGCAGATTGTTGTATGTCATAGCTGCACATCCTTCTAGTTGTTGTATGTGGGACGCGGCCTCAGCATGGCTGGAGAAGCGGTGTATAGGTGTGCGCCTGGGATCCGAACCCGGGCCGCCAGTAGCGGAGCGCGAGCATCCAACCGCTAAGCCACGGGGCCGGCCCTGGAAACTGTTGATTGAACAAAACAACTACATGAAATCTCATTCTCTAAGTCACCACTTTTTAGTCATAATTAAAACAGATTTGAGCGTGACGTTTAAAGAAACATAGGATCTCATTGTTCCTGCCACCTCGCTTTTTCACTTAATATTTTAAATGCATGAGAGAAGGAAAAATTCTTACAAGAGATTAAAAGTAGAACTTTTTTTTAATAAAGATATGTCACTTTAACATTTTCACAAAATCCTTGGCTCTAACCAAATACATGTAATGAATTGATAACAAATTTGTGGAAATGCTAAATGGTGAACCAGAGCCTAGAAATTTGGGAAATAGCTATTATAAAGTGATAAAGCCCAGGAGTCTCCCAAATTGAGCTCTCCAGTACTGAACCAAGCCGTGTAACAATTTTTCACACCTTTGTCTTTGCTTTGGATAAAGTTCAGCTATAAAACAGTGGGAATAGGCAAGGAGGGGTGATAATTAGGATCTACAGGCAGAAAGGACAGGAGCATCTCTTATGTTTAAAGCATCATGCTAGGTAGAGAGCAAGTAAGAGAAGGCAGAAAAAGGAAAGATTGAAAAAGAAGAAAAGAGGAAGAAAGACTGATTTCTGATTATCATTTTATTTGCTTTTGGAATTTAGTCATTTATGGAAATGCCATTCATCTATTGTTTCCTATACCCAATGGGTGAGGAGTAGAGTAAAGGTGAAAAACCTAAGGCAGAGGAGAGTAAAATCGACAAGCATCAAGGAACCAAGGAAAGACTTGGGTTTTTTGTTTTTTTTTCTCTTTTTTTTTTTAAAGATGGGACCTTTTGATTGCAAAACTAAAACTTGATATTAAAAAATTTAGGCAGTAGTGATATATGTAATGAAGTGAATCTAGTAATCACATCTACTCAGTGATAAACATTAACAATTTAGTACATATTCCTACAGATACTTTAGTATATAATATGGGTGGTTTTATACGTGAATTTTAATGGACATGTAGCAGAATTATACTATACATTTGCTTTTTTTCATTTAGCATTACATCTTCAACCTCTGCATGTCAGAATTTAGAGATATATCTGAGATAATGTTAGAGATTATATATATCTATTAAAAATTGATAACTACATTCAAAAACAGTGATTTTCCTTAATGTGTATCAGCCAAGGTTGAGATGGTTTCTTTCTCAAATATTCTCAATCAAAACATTTCTGATAGGAAGAAACGTGAAATTCAGGTAGTTGAACAAAGGAAAGCTTAAGTTTTTTGGTTCTTCCTAACATCTCAGTGTCAATGTCATTCTCTTAAAAAAAAAAGCTATTAGTAAAATAATAAAACAAGATCATTACGTAAAAGTTAATGTTAACATCGCTGTTAACTTGGATGTCTTTCTAGACGTTTTTATGCGTACACATGATACGCAAATAGAATTATAACACATTTTTTCTATCCAAATATGTAGTTATACACTTTGTTCTGTAACTTGCTTTTTCTACTTAATATATCGGATATCTTTCCACATCAGTAAATTTAGACCAGACTCATTTTAATTACTGTATAATACATATTACAGATGTACTACAACTTATTTAAGTTGTTTTTGTTTTGGTTATTTGCCACCACAAATTGTTGCTATTAACCTTTGTCATTATTTAAACATTAAGACATTTTTTTAAATATGAAAAAAATGTTTTTATAAGCAGAACAGAATTGAAATTTAAATTCACACTTGAAATCGCACACTATTTTGTTCTTGCTGATTTCACAGTTAAATGAGAACTTGTCACTAGCTAACTTATTAAAGCTCTATTAGAAAATAGTGTTTTTAAAAAAACCACATAAGGTATAGTCTATATGTTCTTTAAAACTTAAAAAACCTACAGTTAATACCTAAAAAGATTAAAGCTAATAAATATTAGAGCCAAATTTACTATCTGTGTATGTAGGCCACCATACAAGCTGGAGAAAGTTGTTGAAAAGAATTGAGAGGTGCAAACGCAATGTAAAGGTTTTCAGTTTATCCCCGGGTCACGGGATCACCAAGAATATAAACTAGTATAATAAAAGGCGATGAGGCAAAAAGGAAATTAATTATAAATTCATCTGCCAGCCTCCCCATCTTTTGACATCCCTTCCCTTGGAAAATCGTGCTTTCTCCATTCTCCCAAAATGAGGTGGTTCTTCCAATATCATATTTTAGTTACTTTATTGTTTTTTGGCTTTTAAAATTCTGTCTTGATTTGCAGCTTGCATGTCATTTCAGTTTGTACCTGAAGGAAAGAACACTGAATTGACTTTGCCTGGGTCTTCTGAATTTCAGTCTGGATTCAACGCTCAGAAGTGGGAGGAGTATAGGCTTTGCTTAGTGAATTTCAAGAACCCAATTCTTGGGGGTAAAGGACAAGCTTCATTCTGTTCTGAATAATCCTACTATTCAGAAAACTTGGGGTCTACACGGGAAATAAACAGGCCACGACTGTGAACCTAAAGGTAAAGGCAGACAACTGCCAGACAGAGGCAGGAAAGTGGGGGAGGACCTTTGGTAAATATTGCATGCCTCCTGGGGCCAAGTGAGCTTGCCTCAAGCAGGAGATAAAGGGAATTTGTGAAATAAAGAAGCCAATTGGGGCAGACAAAAGCTTCTGTCACAGGAAGTTAGTTCGACTAAGGATACCGAGCTGTAGGCATTTGAATAGGTTCCTTGGTGTGAGGTTGAAGTGAAACCTGATTGAAAAGCAGCAGCAGCTGGTGACGAGTCTCTCCTTGAGCCATTCCCGGTTTCTGGGTGGTTGATGTAAACTCTGTGGTCCTGGAAGAAAGTGTCCTTGAAAGTTTTAAAAGGTTAAGCGCCTGGGAAATTAATGCAATGGTAGCACTACCTCCAAGTATACTACCAAGCAAGCTACCAACTAGAAAAGCTCACAGATCAAATTAAGATGCTAGATTCATATTACATTAATTAAACTTACATGGCACAAAGAATGGGGAATGAGATGAGTCACGCTGATGCACTTAGGATGGGGTGCAATACTCGTAGAAAGGGTAGCAATGTTAACATGACCCGTCTCTGATGCATGATGTGCTTACAAAAATGAGGACAAGG